ACGGTCAACTCCAGTTTCATCCAAACCATCAACAGGGAGGACCCAACCAGAACTAGATGGTGCCTGCTTACAACTACCGACTGTTCTGATCAGGCCCACGCGGATGGACCCCGAGAGAAGGGGAGATCGGGCCCACGCGGACGGACCCCAAGAGAAGGGGAGATCGGGCCCACGCGGACGGGCCCGAGAGAAGGGGAGATCGGGCCCACGCGGACGGACCCCGAGAGAAGGGGAGATCGGGCCCACGCGGACGGGCCCCGAGAGAAGGGGAGATCGGGCCCACGCGGACGGACCCCGAGGGAAGGGGAGATCGGGCCCACGCGGACGGACCCCGAGGGAAGGGGAGATCGGGCCCACGCAGATGGACCCTGACAGAAGGGGAGAAAAACCTGGAACAGAACTCAAAGTCTTAAAAAGTCCAGACTTACTGGACCAGTTGAGACTAGAGGACTCCCTGAGACTATTGCCCTGAGATACTGTTTAAACCTCGAACTGAAACTACCCCCTGAGGTCACCTTTTAGGGAAATGACAGATTGGCACACAAAATAAATACCCGTGATTACGGTGCTGCACTAAAAAATCACCTGTATCAGACCGAAAGGTCAACAATTATTCTAAAGCAAAGATGAGAAGATAAGGGGGCAGGGAAACTAGACTACTGGAAACGGAACAACCAGAGTGCAATTAAAGAGGACCCTGACACACTGTGAAAAATGTAACTAACGTTGCTGAACGATTTGTGTGGAAATTGTCAAATGGGAACCTAATCTGCTGTGTCAACTTTCACAGAAAACACAATAAAATATTGAAAAAACAAGAGAAAACATGGAGGACCCAACCTGGTGCAAACGTGACGTCCCTTCTGGTTTTCCACTCAAGTTTCTGACAATTACTGGTTAGTGGTTGGAGCTGCTTGACAGATACAAGCAGAGAAGTGAACACCGAAACCAAACCCGCTGCTGTCGAGGCAACTCCGACTCATGGCGACCCCGTGTTACAGAGTGGAACTGTTCTACAGGGTTTCCTTGGCTGTAATCTTTACAGAAGCAGACTGCCAGGCCTTTCTTCTGCAGCACTGCTGGGTGGATTTATAGTCAACTATTAAGCCCTAAAAGTTTGTGCCACCTAGGGGGCCTCAGAGAAGCTAACAGGTGTGGTCAATAAATATTTAGTAAGCACATGCCAGGAGCCCGGCATGTACTGGGCACTGTGATGAACCAAAAGAAATATGGGCGCCATTGTCCTGCTTTCTAAGACCCTACAATCTAACTGCTGAAGGCTTGGGCTGTATCAGCGGTAACCAAGTTAGTGTTTCCAGAAAACGGGGTTTTGGAAAAGAAAACCATATTTGCATGAGCTTCACTTAGTAAGCCACCTGGATAATACATGAACAATGCATACATGCATGATCCATGAGAATATTTTTGGCAGAAACTTACTTTATCAAACCATCTTCCACGTACAAATCAGCATAAAACGACTGGTCGTCATTCACGATCTTCCCACCTCTAATCAGAAGGCGGTCACTCTATGGGAAACAAAAAATGGAGAATTTTCTCCAAACTGAGGTACTCAGCAACAATGTTAGTGCAACCTTTGCCCCCAGAATTACAACTGAAAGGAGGCAAGAGGGCACAAGTGTGTACGTAAATCCAAAAAAGCAAAACCCAACCCACCGCCATCGACTCGATTCCGACTCATAGCGACGAAGCCTGCAAGGCTTACTGTTCCTCAAGAACGGAGCCGAC